ATAATAATAATAATAATAATGACACTTTCTATCAATTGAGTATTTGACCTAGAGTAGCCTTAATGCTCTTGAACGCAGATCTTTGAATGTAAATAAAGACATCCCAATCCCCAGAAACAAGAAGGAAAAGCTCTCTTAGTATTCCATTATGGTAATTGAAAATTTCAGCTCAAATTATGTTTTCATATTAAGAATGAGGTATATGTAGTAAATCTTGTGATCATACAGTTAATTTCTAAGGCTTTAGAATAATCTGAAATGCCGTAACAATTTGTGGCTGCAACTTAAGCAGGTATGCTATGACAACAAAAAAACCAAAAACTATAAAGCGATTTCTAAAACACGTCAAGAAAGTTCAGTGAGAAAGTGGAAATATGACTTATAGAATAGAAATAGAAACTGTCTTCATGACTGGAACCAGTCACCAGAATTCTGTTGTTTACAGCACCACACACTCAAGCATCCTATGCAAGAAGTGATGCAGCAACAGCCAAGAGGAAAATCAGTCCTCATGGTTGTTCTCTTTTTGGGGAAAGAACAGTCTCTGCACATATCCTGTGAAGAACCTTCTTTTGAAGACTCATATGAAAATTGCCAGATAATATAAACATTTTTATAAGATCCTGCTAACAACGCTGTTTCTGATTTAGGGTTATGTCAGGTTTTACTTAAAACGAAAAGCCTTACTTCTTCAATTACTTACCTAGGTAATGTGGTGGATGAAATGGCATAGGTTTATTAGTTGCTGAGTAATAAGCAACTGCTCTCTTAAATCGAGTGACTTTGTCATCTGTTCTAGACTAAAATTAAAAAAAAAAAAAAGATCTGTCAGGAGTAAATTCAAGCATGCCATCTGTAAGTCAGCACTGTACTGTAAAGTACTTAACATACACATCACATACAGCATTAACACCTATGGACCCTTGAGGACTACAATGTTACTCCAGCACCAGAAATATTGTATCAATTCCAAGTAAGGATAATACTTGAAAAGACTATCATAGTATTGTTATTGTTGGGAAAGACCTTTAAGATCATCAAGTCTAACTGTTAATTAACTCTACCATGCCCACTTTTAAACCACGTCCCCGAGTACCATACGTAGATGGCTTTTAAATACATCCAAGGATGGTGACTCCAACACTTCCCCAGATAGTCTGTTCCAGTCTTTGATAACCCTTTCAGTATAGAAGTTTTTCTGAATGTCTAACCCAAACCTCTTCTGGTGTCACTTGAGGCCATTTTCTCTTGTCCTATTGGATGTAACTTGGGAGAAGAGACCCACACCCACCCACTTTTCTACAGCTTCCTTTCAGGTAATTGTAGAGAGCGGTAAGGTCTCCCCTCAGCCTCCTTTTCTTCAGACTAAAGACCCCCAAGTCCCTCAGCCACTCCTCATCAGACTGTTTACAAGGGCACACAGCAACAGTACAAGGGCCAATGGTTTTAAACTAGAGCAGGGTAGATTTAGATTAGATATTAGGAAGAAGCTCTTCACTATGAGGGTGGTGAAACACTGGAACAGGTGGCCCAGAGAGGCTGTAGATGCCCCATTCCTAGAGACATTCAAGGTCAGCCTTGATGGGGCTCTGAGCAACCTGATCAGCTCTCCAGCCACTCCTCCCTATGCCTGTAGCGCTGCATGGGGTTGTTGTGACCCAAGTGCGGAACTCGGCACTTGGCCTTGTTGAACCTCATGCAATTGGCCTCAGACCATCGATCCAGCCTGGCCAGGTCCCTCTGCAGAGCTATCCTGTCTTCATGTACCGCTGATTCTCAGTGATGGTACACAAAGCCACATTATAAAAACCCCTTGGCTATCAAGAATTTAACTTCAAAGCACTGACAGTAAATGCAGTATTTTTATCTTTTTTATGGAAAGTGTGGAAAGTTAAATTAGGGTATCTAAGACACTGCATATATCAATAGATTCCTATTATCAACTGATGCAAACCACTATTTTTATAGCATGCAATTCTTCAACACAAATGTACAGCCCAACTGGTTTAAAAAAAAAAACCCACCAAACCCAAACCAGTATTTTGCTTTATACTTTACCTGTGAATGTTGAAAAACATCTTTTGCTATGGCATCCAAATCAGTGGTGTCCTGAATATTACGGACGTAGTCAGCTACAGCTTTGATCACTACGTCACAAGGTGGTAAAACTAACTGGTGAGCACGTACCTATGCAAAGAAACACACGCCAGGATGAAATAACAGGGTAGCCCAAGATACTTCAGTCACACAACAGAGAATTACACTGTTTATTTTACTGAAAATATATTCCACAAATTCTGTATTGCCAGATTTAGTATCTAAATATTTTTGAGCCTTCCACCTTGTTTTTAAGACTTCACCTTAAACAATGACTCATGTATTTTTCATCTATGGTATATTTATATACATATGTGAAACCTCACCTCTATGTAAATATTTGCTGGTTAAATATCAGCTCCAACAACAAACTAAGTCAAGAATGCTAACTATTTCACTGTCTTCTAGTTATACATTTTCTCTAGCGCAAAGTGCTTTATCTAATGTAGATACATCCATTTTATACACACACACACACACACATATATATTCGGCACAGTTTATATTCCGAATGTAAAGCAGTATCAGAATTGATGAAAGAGATCCACTGGGAAGAGGAAGATCTCTATGTACACAGAAAAGGGAGAATCTGAAAAGCAGATGGAGAAAAGGAATATCTCAAGGAAACTTATTTTCAAGATTCTACAGAAACTGTCTAAAAATCAGTATTTGAAGATTACACAGTTTAATAATTAGTACTTTCAAATACTGGATATTTCATTATCTTTAGTAGAATACAGCTTAGTATTATATATAACATTTCAGGCAAGAAATTTTTATTTCTTTTGTATTATACAATGACAAAGAAATGATTTATGGATTTCTCTTGTTGCTATGATGTGAGCAGTTACTTTCTCTTTCAAGTTTTTCAGTATCAATATGTTTACAAGGCCGGTTACTCTTCTTGCAGACACAGAAGAAATCCTTTAGAAGGTAATTCTATTGATAAAATAAATTTCAATATTCTGGCACTAACATAATGGATGTTTCATGATTGTTTCACCATCCAATGACAGATTCATCTGACCTCCCATATTAACCATTTTAAATGGATGAGAAACATGCACTTAAATGCATGCTAAACGTTTCCCTTGAATTTATGACTTGAGCCCATAGGCACCACAGACTTCTGTCTACAAATCAGCGTCCATGCTGCAGTCTACTCAAAATCTTCAGAAAATGATGAATTCCCACTGATTCACTGGTCACTGACTCAGGCCACGAGTTTGAAAAGGTACGAATCACTTTGGACTTTGCAGCAAAAGACCTCTCTTTGTTGAAGAGCAAAGAGCTGGAAGAACTTTGTGGGATGACATCAAAAGCTGCTATGGATGTGCTGCACCAGGAATTTCTGGACACAGTTCAGAGAAGGGAAGATAGACCCGGAGAGAAAGGAACCGGATAGACCCGGAAACCCTGGACTTTCATCTCAATGCTGTCAACAGGCTCCTCCTGTACCAACAGTCCTGCAAAGTCCTAAACTGAGGATTATTCAGCATATGATTATGGGAATTACTGCTCTGTGTGATCCTAGATGGGTTACAGAAACCTCAGGTCAAGGAACCATCATGGACTACTGTGAAATGAAAAGAAGTGATACTTTCCCTCTGTGCTGCACAATGCGCGTACTTGGAGGGGCAGGAACGAGGTCTCCAACTCTGTGTCCTAAATTTTAGGGAACGCCTGAGGAATTTCTAAAAATTCTGTCTGGAACCTCTGGACAATTCTGGAGCACTCTGTCCGTGCCTATAGGGGCAGCTAGGTTTTTGCTTTTTAACATATTTTAATCTATTTGCAGAATTCAGTGATTCATGACTTAAATAATAATAATGACGATATCTCAACAGTTCTGGTTTTTAAGATGTGAGAAAATGTGAAAAATCTTTATGCTTGCATTTTACACTGAGGTCTCAAGCTTCACTAAAAAATAATGAAATTCAGCCTTGTCAGAAATATTTATGGAAAATTCTGATGAATACTTCACTAGTTTTATCTTTGCAACTTTAAAATCTGTACAACCCCTTTTTATTTTATATGGAGTCTAATATACGTAATAATTTTCATGACCTTATTTTATCCACTTAATATGCAATTTCTTAGACTGATACCCTCGTATTTAGATCATGGGATTTTTGCCCTTATTCCCATTTTTATTAATTTCCTTCTTCTAATGTCTACATTTTACAAATGTCAGGATATTCATCCTATACCTGACCATTCTCTACCATAGATGAGCTCCACGTTTTATGAGCCTGAATTACGAACAGTTCTGTTTAGTGTAGTCAGTGGCATGGTAATTATTTCTATTCCAGAGAGTAAATAAACTTGCAATAGAGTGCATTCTGAATATACACAACAACAGTAAATAGCACATTTGCACGGAAGCTTAATGTTACAAATATTGATGATAAAATTTTGCAGCCAATTTACAACAAAACTTCTTCTCACTGGTATTCCACGTTGTTTTATGAACACCTATCATTTTACTTGTATGTGTAACAACTATACATCTCTAAAGCCGCTGAATCATAGCACGACTATGTCATGTTAGATGTGCTCTTGGCAGAGCCCCTTGGAGAAACCCTGTGCTACTACTGAAGGGCTTCTGCCCTCTCTGCTTGAAAATTCAGTGGATAAAAGGAATAAGCAATCTATCATTAGTTTTATCTGATCTCCAAGATAGTAATATTTAATAAACCATAAGCAGTTAGCACCAAGAAAAGACATCACATCACTCTAGCACTAATATTCAGCTCAGACCACAGAAATCTAAAGCTCAAGTGAGACATATTAAGGGCTTACTATGCATAGTGCCCCCAGTTTAGCTGCTTCTAAACACACAGCCTAAAGACTTCACGGGAGCATATTTTTAATTCCTGAAGTGAAATCTTCTGAAAGTACATATTAGATTTAAAGACATTTCAGGTATTTGGATTTTATCTTCTTTTATTCAGTTTCAAAGACATCCAGTCCAGATGTGAAAACACCCTCAAAACTAAAAATGCCATGACCTATGCAGAAGTCAGAAATGAAAAGTGCAGAAATAAGAAATATTTTCCTTATACTGAAGAAAAAGTTTCTATAAATGTTAGAACTTTCCAGAAATCCAGAATTGTAGATTTTTTACTAAATAATAAGAAATCTTTCTAATATTGCGTGCATTAAAACACAGGCTAAGTTCTACTAAGTGTTAGGTATGGGAAAAATTAAGACTTAACAGCAAAAGTTACAGTTCATGGCTCAAATTTACTTCTAGTCGCACACAAAGCATTTCATAGCAAATTCAGCGTATTTTACCAATTTCTCATTATGAGCGATTTCTCCTTAGAAGCTGTTTTCCTTATCCTCTACAGAAGAGTTTTGGACAATCCACAACACGGAAAGTAAGTTTTGGAAAGGCAAACATGGAGGTGAATCACACACTTGGAGGTGACTGGGTTAGAAAGCATGACAGCTAAAAGCTGCATGGCTTCTTCACTAGTTGTAGGACTACTTCAATTTCCTCACAGACCACTGACAAAAATCACAAGCAACCTATCAGTGCACTCCGAGAAGATTAAGTGGGGAAAGGAAATTAATTCTAGATAGGCATTTGTCAAAATGAGAGGCAGAGAGCAACATCACAAGCCCAGAAGCTACAAGATTAATATGTCTTGTTTTTGACAAAGTAATTTTGGAAAAATGCTTTATTGAAAGAGAAATGACTCACATATGCGTAACTGCACATGATTATTAGGATACTGTAGAAGTTACCCAAACTACACTTGGGAAAAGCTCCCCAATTCTGGGACAACTCCAGTTGCCCACTGTCTCCAGACAGTGAAGCCTTTAAAAGCTAATCAACACAAGTACCAGCATTTACTGTTGTGCCTGCTGGAAACAGATAATCAGTTTAGGTTTCTTTTCAAACCACTGAAAAAGAGACCTTGGACATTCAGTTACTGTGCAGCAACGCATAGGGAACATTTTTTTTTCCCCACTGGTGAGAGAAAAAGCTGAAGATATGAAGAATACTACAACGAATTGAGTGGGTTTGGGGTTTTTTTTTCTGGTAATTTCTATTAGAGAACACATCCAAACTGGTTGGATCTTGTATTAGTCTTTGAATGTTGAAAACATTTAATCTTACGAGCTTGTAGTTGATCTGATCTAACGACAAGCTTCCTGAAGAAGCAAGAAGTTCCCTAAAGGACTTAAAATCCTCTCAAACCAGCAAAGCTCAGCTTTTCTCTGAAGATCAAGTTATTCCATTAGAAATTTCTCTCTCCTCCTCCCTCAGTCTTGATTGGGAAACTGAACTCTTTCAACTTCTGCATGTCTCAATGGTAACGAGAACTCACACAACATGGAGACCATTTGCTAACAATTTATCCACATAGGGCTCCAAGAAAATTCAAATTTAAACAGAGGAACAAAAATGAAATGTCAGAAAGAAACAGGGAGAGCAGAAACACAAGCCAAAGATGTGATACAGACAGACTTCATATGAGACAATCTACGTGACAACCCTGCACACTACCACGAACCCAAGGGCTGGGCTGCCATCCAGAAGCACCCAGACAAGCTACAGGAATGAGCCAACAGGAAGCTTAACAAATGCAACAACTACAAAAAGCGAAGTCTTGCACCTGAGCAGGAATAACCCCTGGCTACTCTGCAGGCTGGACTTGTACCAAAAAGGACATGGGGGTCCTGGAAGACAGCAAGCTGACCGTGAGGCAGCAGAGTACCCCAGCAGCAGAGGCAGCCAGCTGCACCAGGAATGCAGCCAGCAGATCAAAGAATCCTGCTCCTCAGCACTCATTAGATCACCTCTAGAGCACTGCATTCAGTTTTGGGCTCCCCAGTACAAGCCAGATATTCAAAACGTTGAGCCAGTTCTGTAGAAAGCCATCAAGATGGTTAAGGAGTTGGAGCATCTGCTCTACGAGGAGGGGCTGAGGAAATGGGGCTTGTTCAGCCTTGCAAAGACAAGGCTTTCAAGATACTGAACAGCAGCCTTCCAATACCTACAAAAAGGTTACCAAGTTCACAGAGCCAGACTCTTCACGATGGTGCACTGTGGAAGGATGACAGACAGCAGACGTAGCCTGAAACAAGACAGGCTCAGACTGTACACAAGGCAAAACATTTGTACCCTTGGGACTGTCAAACCACGGAGCAGGCTGCCCAGACAGGTTGTGCAGTCTCCAACCTTGGAGATTTTCAATTCTAGTCTAGACAAAGCCCTGAGCAACCTGGTCTGACCTCAAGCTGACCATGCTTTCAGCAGACTAGATGACTTTCTGAGGCCCTTTCTGACCTGCATCATCCCATGATGACCCTTAGCATCAAAAAACAACCCAAACCCAGACACTTACTTTAAGCATATCTTGACAGTAGCACCTTTGTTATCTGAGCAGCAGCAGATCACCTAAGCATCTACTTAGCATATTAGTCTCCCTCTGGCAGAAACGCTCCAAAGGCAACAGAGGATTGGAATTTCCTAGAGCAAATCAGAGAAGGAGCCTAATCTGCATATTTTGGATTGCTTTCTGGAAGCATCTCCCTTTCCCCCTCTACCAAGATGAAACAACCAAGGAGGTAAGCTAACTAATTTTGCCAGGTGGAATAAAAATAGATGTGAAATACTGGATGGCTGGCATAGTAATTTTGCCAAAGAGAGTCCAACGAGTTCATCCTTCCAAAACCACCCTAATGGGAAGATGATCCACTGCAAAATGAAGACGGCAATCTCAAAGTTTCCCTCTCATTTTCAAAAAGGGAGACTGCATGAAGACTTGTTTCTAAGGATACCTTGTGAATCAAGAGTCAGCACTTCTTCAGTAGTATGTGCTCTCAAACAGACAGTAATTCATTCAAGAGGTAAGAAACTGCCCTCCTAATATCATTCTGATGGTATTATGCATTGCTCTTGAAGCTCCTGTAACAAGCCTTTCCAGAATGAGAACTTGTCTTTGTTCTAAAGGCAAATCCCAAAGCACACAAATAAAAAGTAGTATAATGTTAGTTTCCAAACAAGGTCTAGCGGTCAAATTATTTCTATCAACTCCTTTCTTGTTTCAACTTCTCATCTAGGTGGCCATTTCAGTGAACTCTGCTCTCAGGTAACCAGACGCAAACACAGGCCTGCACATCTACTACATGCATCACCTGTTCACGCTGGGACATTCAGACAGACAAGACCCTGTCTCAGCACAACTTGCAGTGCCAGGTTTTGATTCTTTTCTCCTTTTGCAGCAATAGTCATTTCCTGACTAGGTTCATTTCCTTCTAGATGTGAAATACGGATTCTCTGTTGAGGTTTCCATTTGCTTTTTCCCATTTCTACTCAGCTGTTCTCACATGAACATATCACTCTCATATCTCCCTTTAAAACAGAGGTACAGCTTCCTCAAATTTGCTTTCCTTCTCCTCACTATGTTGACACCTAAGCAGATACACCCATCTTCTATCAGCACAGACTGGTAGTTTCTTTTTTAAGTTACATTTTTTACTTGGTGAACTAGCAAACTTACTCTTGTAGGAAGAGTGACCATTTTGCTACATCATAATAAAAGAGTGAGAAAAATATACAGAAACTAAATTGTACATTAACAACTGACATCGTTCTTACTGAAAAGCAACAAATCAGGCCATTGGGAATCGAGTCTGTTAGCTCTGATGCTCAAGACCATACCATCTTAGATACAAAAGATTAAAATCTTACACAATAAGAAGTTTTCTATGTCCTGAGTTGAATGAAGTGTGGAATTAGAGCCCTTGGTTCCCAAGTGCAGAGAATACTCAATAGTATCTCTAAATAGATGCAACAAAGCAAAGTTTGTAAGTACAGCTCAGGGATGACATCCTGGGCTATCGCAACTTCCCCCCCATTTCCAGTCTTCAGGACAGCTTGTACTTTTTGTAGCTCCTCTGAAACTACTACTTGTTATCAAGCTTGTGGCTAATATAATAACATCTTTTAGTTCTTTTAAGCATCCATAAAATTTACAAGGAGTATTGCTGTTTGCACATCTACAATAAACAGAAGAGGTCTTTACAGGGAGAGCTGTAACAGCATCTTTGACACAGTGGTATGTCAAATGAAATTAAATTGAATCAATGAGCTACTGAAACAAGTTATAATTTCAAGCCATGAGCACTGCTGAAAGTGAAGCTAGGGAAAAAAAAACAAAAAACCCAAACAAAACAGTAAGTTGTTCCTTGACCAGCAACTAATGAAGATTGGTTTCCTGTAGACTTGTGTCCTTGGTGGTTTAGCCCTTCTTCCTTCTCTCCCTTTGACATCGTTATCAGTCAGGAGACAAATGCTGTGGTTAGTTTGGGGTATGTACTTAACAACTGGCGAGAATGCTGCTGTGAAATGAAACAAATCATGTGTTGTGCTAGTCTTTTTCCTCAATAACAGCACTAGTTTGGGTCTTTTTCACTGATGACAGTGTATCAGTTTCCACAGAACCCCTGACAGCCCAATGGGAACCGCTTTCAAATCTGATCAACACTGGCCAATACATTAAATAAATACAGGGAGGACTGTCTTAGTCACTGGTCTAAGACAGCCCAGTGACTCAGATCAGTAGAAAATAAAGCAATATGGCAGGAAGATATCCAGCTAATTATTTCTGACGGTTGAAGAACATGACTAAACAAAAAATTCTCCTTTTAAAAAAAGAGGAGAGCAAGAAGCTATGTTCTCAAAGTAAAACCACGCCGAAGTTACTGAGTGCATGGCTTACATAGCTGAAGGGCACTGAGGGGGATCACAAAGGCTAAGTTTAGCCTCGTTAAGGCTAATCGCCGCAGGTATCCTCTGCAGTCAACACAGAGGGACTGGGACACCAGAGGGTGACCCAGAACAAGAGCCTTGCAGAGCTGCTGTGAAATAACCTATTACATTGCTTTGATTAACCGTTATGATTGGTTTTAACTTAATTGCTAGTGGTTATACTAAATTTGTACCTTAAGTGAAGCTAGTGGATGTTCTGGACCAAGTAAACTCCAATGAAAGGAAGCCAAATCTTCATCAGGTAGAATATGATTACCTAGAACATAATGCAGAACTTTATTTCAGTACACCATAAAACATTACATACTGATTCTACACTCAGCAAAACAAATTTGCAACCGGTTCTCAACTCCTGATCAATAGGATTAACAAAGAGAGATTAAACTTGCAGATACCTTTTTATTACTCCAGAAAAACCTAATTAGCATGCCACTGCTGCAGCAAGATACTCTTCCCTCTGGTCGAGGAGCACTCGTCCGTGAAACCTAGCTCACTTACAGAAGCAACAGAGCCAGTCACAACACATGGTGTCAACCTCAACCTGGCGTGTTCTCTTAGGGGAACCTCAACAGGATTTAGCCATGCAGGTGCAACAGTGTCAGAACACACTCAGTTGCTCTCCTACAAACTGGTAAGCCCTTCCTGAATCCCAGCATGTGCCATTACTGATCCACATTGGAGCTGCCTCTGGAATCTATGCTCCGTCATGCAACCTGGGTTGAGCAGCAAGGCACTGGGCAGATTCACTGACCCCTCAGGAATGCTGGCCGGTCCGACGATACTGCAGGTTCCCAATTCATGAGGTTTCTTCAGCTGACATGACTAGGTCAGACAAGAGCCTGGGCCAGCAGCATCAAAGTAATTGGGAATTACGTAGTTGCTTCAATGAGCAGAGATAGTGGCTATATTTAACAAGTTGTTCAGACCAAATGGAAGATAATTTAATTTTATTTTTTTTTTAAACAAAGCACATCACGCTCAGGGAAAAAAAAAACAACTTTAAAAACATCTTACTAGTTCAAATATTTGAATTAATCAAAGACAAATTAATCAACCACTGACAGAGTTCAGTGTCTGTGGATCCAAAGTTTACAAAGAGCTAAGCAGAATGTATTACTAGAGTCCTGGTAGAAAACCAAAGGATATTTTCTATATCTGGTTTTATAGAGCAGCAGCTTAGCAGTGAATTCATAGTTCTCATTGGTGTTAATAGATTTACAGCTTTTTTAAAAAAATTCAGTTTGGACAACATCTTGAACTCTCACCTACTCAAAGAATATGACAGGATTCCTTGAATATAACAATTGTTTACTTTCTTAATATTTTGCTTGTAGAATAGTTTAGTTTGCTTTTAATACTCTTTAACATGTGAAAACCAAGAAAGCTGTCTATTGCCTGGCAACTAGTAGATGCCTTCTTAGAGAGGGAAGTCTTTGTGTCCAATCAATATTTCCCCTATTGCTGAGACCTCCAGCAGGGAGATATTATAATATTTATTCATTAGAAGCTAAACTTTAAACTCACATCAGAAAGATTCAACAAGTTTGTATAGAACTGTCACGTTCTTACTAATCTAATCAAGGTATGATTAGACAGCCTCTTCAATGCAGGTCTGGGAAAAAAAAAATCAATTACACCAGACCACTAGACAATTTTGTGATAACTAACTCCTGAAGGTGCTAAGATAACCTTGTAAAACAGTCAGAGCTTCTCTTCCCTTCCACCAAAACCTCAATCTTGTCTGGTCGCCATCTGTCAGTTCAGTTAATTCCACCCCCTCGAACACACACATCGGACAGGCTGACCATTTGATCAATTCTCACCACATACTGAACTGCAGAATTTAGGATGCTGAAGTGCAGCAGTGTCTTCTGTAGTCCCAATAAGAAGCAATGCCTGTACTTACCTTACGTAGTTCTAAAATCGTACCGCAGAACAGAATGAGACTACATAACTAAACATGTTATAAAGTACTGTCACAGTGGGAAAGAGATCAACGTTACATAAGCAACCTCTGTTTCTTGACCTGGCTGAATAACCTCAAAATATATTGATTTTTTCTCATTTTAATGGTTTATTATAGTATATGCCTTAGGTTTTTTAAAAGCAATTAGATACTAACTGAAGCCACTGCCCTTTCTAAAGAGTTCACTGAATTGCAGCCCTATACCTCATGCTGTGTTTGTTTTTCTACTGCCGAAGTTTGAGTTTGTTGGGATTTTTTAAGTAATTCTGAAATATTTGAGTCAAAATTTACAAAAGAATCCAAATCAACTCCCTGTTTACATCAACAGCAAATAAGACAGTACTTTTTAAGAGCATGCTCTTGGAGGACACAGTATCTTGGCCACATTTTAACCTCCCATGACAAGGATATTCATTACAGAGCTAGAAGTACAAACCCCTTCTGCGTAGAAATCTGTAAGGAAAAAGCTATAAAAGAAAGGAACCAACCACTGTGTGTACATAACCTTCTCAGTAATCTTTAAAAAATTTGCCTAGTTGGTACAGTCAGAAAAATATATTCCTGGAATACTTCAGTATCAATCCCAAATAATTTGCCATTAAGAACATCTTTTAATTGACCAGTTAGGTGTTGTTCCTCAGGCTCCTCTAAGTGCTGAACGTCTGCCTGAATCATTCAAGTTATTTTTCTCTTTTTCAGCATCCCCAGATTGACTCTTGAAGTTAATGTCAAGAAAGTATCTAAACACATAGAAATCTGCATTTTCTATACACAGGGAAAGATTTGCAGACCTGAAGTTGAATACTGATACAGCTATTGTGGGAGCTTTGGCCTTCTGTAATTGTAAACATTAAACCAGCAGCTTAACTGCAACTATTTCAGAATACATTTATTTATTCCTAAATAAAGTACCAGCACAGGGACTTACACTGATGTACCCGGAACAGAAAAGCAATCTAACAGATTCATATGCTTTCCCACGTAATCAAATGCACGCTTATCTTTTTCCATTCTGATTTCCTTCATTCTACTTATCAGGTTCACAAGAGACCCAAAGAGGCCACAAGAGCAGGGGCAGAATAACCTGTGAAGCTGGACAAGCCCTCAGATACTAAATAAAAATGTAAAAATTTAGATCTGAATTAGTTACCTTGCTTTAAACATATGCCACACTACACACAGTTATGTGCCCATATGCATTTAGTATTTTATTAAAAAACTGAAGTTACTATACTCCTAAGGTTGCTAAAGTTAAAAAAACTTGCCAGTACTTTAAGTCAAACAGTATCTGTTTGTTGTAAGCTTATATAACCACTGTTTGCTACCAAATACCTACATTTCATAATATTCACTAATATAAAAAAACCCCCATCACTCATCGCAGGAAGATCTCCAAAGTATTGTCTGTTCTAACCCTGACTTCCATAAACTTTTTTCTGCTTACTCATACTGAACACACACAAAAGAATACACAAAACTAAACTTGTAGCTGATATAGGGTTTTTTTAACCTTTGTACCTATTTGGAAAAGAAAAGCGCTACAAAATCTCCCTAGTAATCATGTAAGATGACCTCAAGTTTCTTTCTCCTAAGAGCAAGCTGAAAAATATTTTGTTGTGTAAGATATCAAGAGTGAAACATATCCAAGAGCTTCTTGCCTGAAATTGCAAAACCTTGAGAAAATTTACCAGAATCTTTTCCACATACCTTTTAATCTAACCAAGCAATGCCTCGACTGACCATACAGCTGTAGTTCTGACAAGTTAAAACAATGCTGTTCACATGTACTTCACATTAATTCCCAACTGGGAAACTGCATTTCAAGCAGTAAGTAATCCTTACTCACTGAATTGGCATGCAACAACTTATTTATAGACTCCAAAACAAAGCCTATCATGTCATGTACATAGAATTTTTGATTTAAATTGCAGCTTATCCAATCGTCTGCCATTCTTCCATACAGCCACGCAGGCAGGTAACCATTTTGGATATGAAAAAACATACACTAACGAAAAGCAACTTCAACTACTTAAATACTTGTGCCTTTCCACTGCAAGATGCGTTGGTGCCTTCCTTCTTAACATGGAAGGTACCTGTCTAGACTAGAAACACTTTTAATATTAAGACTAATAAAATATTTGTATGCTAAAGCAGTAACACAGCCTCTCTCATTCACAGCTTTCAAATGAGAAGTTCTATTCTTTTACCACGTATCCATACTAAAACACAAAGGCAATGAGAAAATAAAAAGAAAATCCAGTTTCCTTAATTTGTTTGCTCAGTACAACAAGATCAAGAACATGGCTGCTTCGTGCTTATTTACCCAAAAAGAAGTTAGAGTGCTGTTCTAAATAGATCTGATTCACTGGAGCCAACTCTATTAGTAATTAATTCACTCTTCCATCCGAGGGAGTATGACAGCTATTCTCTACCACTGCTGTGGAAATACAGCGTGTTAAAATTGTCCCATTTAAGCAGAGAAGTGAAACTGAAGACCTTCCTACCTATGCTCCTTAAAGATACTGCACCATTTAGCATTAGAAGCAGAAGTGCGAAGAAACTATCCAAACAAAACTAATGGAATGGTGAGATGCTGGCTGCCTGTGCTTTCAGAAATGTGGAGTTTCACTCAGTTATACAGTATATTTCTGGTGCAGCTGATGTGCTGTCACATTTGTCCAATACTCATCTCTGAGAGGAAAAAAAAAAACTCCTGCAATCCAAAAATCTTCACTCCATACATGTTATTTTTAGGTAGAACACAAAACAGGACAGAAGTATGCTTTCCCAGTCTGGAAAGTGGATTATTCAAAGTAGACCTCATATGCTATACAAGGCCAAAACTACTAGAACCGCAAGTGTTCAGATTTCCCCTCCACACCCACTGAGAAAAATTTTGGCTAGGCAGAGCTTTGCAGAATTCTTACTTTCTACTCTTGTTTCTAGCCAGCCACAATTCGCATCACTCTCAGGTCTCTACAAATTCTGCATGTCTGGCCGAATAAAAACACATGCGGCCTACCTCAAGTGTAGTAGGCATATCTGAAACAAAGGGATGTCTTTCTCCAGGTGCTTTGTCAAATTATACACGTATATTTTAAAACAGTTAATAGAAACTGAAATCATAAGTCTGACTAGCAGCATTGAGTTCTTTTATTATTTCACTTACCTAAAAGAGCAGCAAAAATAGGAAAGCGATTTGGATTCAGGTCCAGTTGCTTGGCAACTTCATGCATTAGGTATTGGCTTGTTGTGAGACTTTTCCCATTACGGCTCAGTTTTAGGGCATGGGCACTGAAATAGTAAGGGATGTTGCACAATGCATAATCGGAGTCATATGCAACCAAGCCATGGAAACCTTTTTCTCTGCAGAAAGCAATTACTTCTTGATGATGATCCTCAATGCTCTGTGCAACCTATAGTGGAAGACAGAGTAATCAGCTACAGTGTAAAGTGCAGTACTGATTTATAACATGTATTACAATATATTGGGTCTTTCCGAAACTATATATGCGCATTTGAAACACTTGCAGTATATTTAATTAGTAATTAAAATTAATAATTAAATAAATCCAATGACACAGCACATATGGACAGGATATAAGGAACACTCAGAAAACCATTAAAAAGTTCTGGAAGCCTACAGACCAAAGTGGCATTACATATTACTGAACTCATTTGAAGTAACTGTTTAACAGAAACACTCAAACTCTAAACATATTATTATACTAATGTCTGTATTACATCCTGGGACAAAATCTTAAGGCTGTGGATACTTCAGCAGTTCAGCAAGCCAAGACATCCCCTTAAAAATGATCACTTTTAAAGTTTTGTTATAGTTTTTAGAAGAAACAAACACAATCGTAGTTGAACAGAGGTAACTTTCCTTACCTTTCTCACGTCTACCTCCCTGTGCTAAGCCAAATTTTTCCCTCTCTCTACTGTCAGCCTATTCATTTATGCACAGCTGTCTCCGATGGTGCAAATTGCTTCAGGTTTATAGCCCAAACCTCACCTCTCAACTGACGTTGCCTAGCAAAGCACATACTTTAGGCTACGGCAATCATTCAGATGACTAGAACAGACATGTTGTGCAGGGGGCACATGGGCCATTTCCTAAAGCTGGAAACATAAAAGCAACCCTTTCCTATCAAGAAGATTAAGCTAAAGTAAAAAAACACACGATGACAGATTAGAACCTACAGGCCTGCATTTCTACACACCGTCAGGAACCACTACAACTAGTTTGCACACAAGAACACAAAATAATGCTTCTGATGCCTGATGCATTAACCATCTACATACATAAAAAACATTTAGTGATTCAGAAAACCCCACACAAGTTAGGTGTTTGTATAAGCCTCACCAAGTATTCAACAACAACACAGATAGCAAGCTATCCCAAAATAGACTAGTACAAAACTATTAGGTTCAGTCTCCACAGTACATGTGAATAACTACAGAGTTAGTGCCAGAGATGCTACTTCTTTCCTCCACGGCCGAAGCCCTACAGAATGTGAGCAAGGGTCCTGCACCCCCCAGCCCACTCACACAGTCCCGTAGTCATCCACCTCTCAGCAAAGAGTTTTTGTCCAACACCAAGTTTACTTCATTTCTGCTCATGCTTGCACTTTCCGAACCTGACATTGAACAACAGGCCTCTAGTGAGGTATGTAAAACTTTGCTTTTCCCATGTAGCTTCACAAGACACTCCTTTTCAAGCAAAATCCCGAGCAGCTTAACAGCCAGCACCTCACTCTGAGCTGTTCCTATGATCAATAAGCAGCTCACTAAGCTCTCTCTACTCTGAACGTTGCTCCCTTATAGGGTTAAGAAAATGTTACTTCTTCAGAAACGTGCTTGATGGACTGTATCAGAGTGCCTTGGAAATTTAATTTTGTTTGTGAGAAAAATGAGCGTATTCATTTTTTCTAATAATTATACTGTCATCTAGCATAACATGTGCCTGCTATACGCTGAATTGGAAGAGAGCGCAAACACTTCTGTATAAATCTGATTTTTTTTTTCCTCCAGAAGGGCAATTTAGGCTTCGCCACTTCCCTCCTCCCAGTATTTACATGCTTTAAATTAGGAAAATCCCCTAGATATTTTTTTCATTAAGGGTAGATAGATTTAAATTATGCACATATGTACCTAAAATCAACACGCATGACAACCACAGAGCATCTGTAAAAAAAGAATGCTTTTTGCAGTGCTAGGTGTGACATGGGTGTGCAGACAACACAAGAATTAACTTGGTGTACGGTCCACTCTGACCTATGAACTATTTCCTCTACCTCTACAGCCTCCAGTTCCCTCCTTGCTTTATAGAGCTATCTGACACAGCAAGCTATGAGCATGAAGCTGCAGTATGTTTAGGTAATACAGGAATGTGTGTTCCAATCACTGAACTATCACGGGGCAAGAAGCTGTATCTACCAAGGCACAGTTAACCCCCAACATAAAACTCCAACCAGATGAGTCAAAGAAACAGCTTACAGCTCTCACAAAGGGCAGCACCCGAAGATGCAGCTCTACCCAGGCAACACGCACACTGCAAAATCAATCCAGGGAGGGGGGATGCGGGGGAAATTGCAGCCAGGAGTTTGGAATAATTTTCAAGTCTAAACCTTGTGTAAACATTCATGATGCTGGATCAGAAAGAGAGAATTCTGTCTGCACGTTTACATACTGAGAACAAAGTCTTAAAGCTATTAAGATCTCCACTGCTTAAATATTTAAATTTTAGCAAACCTGCTTTGCATAAAAGTTTCTTTTAAGGATTATTCCTCCCCTCCCCCAAACAGAAAAATACCAGGTCACAATTAAGCTAAGGACCCGCAGGATATTTGTTATAACTTGGAGGAACCTGTTATTTTTACATCCTGCTGA